GAAAAGAGGCAGGGACCTGGCTTTCAGTTTGAATGACACTGTTCTCTCCCAGAGATGATCACCTGGACAACCAGTGCACCCCCTTCTTGGGAATGACCTACTCACACAGCAGACTGGGTCTAGAGCCCCTTTTATAGGATGGGGTGCTATAACCCACAGGTGACCCTAGACATGGGTTGCAGCTTCATTTTCTACCCGTGTTCATTGAGAAAAATCTCAAGTGGTTTTTTTTTTATGTTATGAAGTGGATTTGGACAGGATCACACTCAAGAATGGAACTGGCATTGGAATTACACAGAGAGAGCAAGAACAGGAAGTGCTTGACAGCAGGATGCATGTGGACAGGATGTCTTGAAAGTGCAGTGGTCAGGCAGGGCTTGGGCGCCCTCTTGAGGGTTGGGTAGTAGCTGGCTGACAAGGAAAGAGGGACAGCAAAGGGACCGGAGCTGGCAACAAGGAGCAAATGTGGGAGAGGCTGGGCTCAGCAAATGTAGACTTCATGCAAAAGCAGAGGTTGGGATGGCACCAAAGGAGGGGCTGCAACAATACAACTGGAAGAGAATGGGTTTCTCTTCCCCAACCTTAGGTCATTCCAAATCAGGATAACCCAAAACTTGGCTTTCTAAAACCTGGTCCTAAACCACTACCAATGGAATAAAAATCACTTACAACTCAGGTACTGGGAAGGAAAAAGATTCTCTCCTTCTCTCTCCAGGAGAGTCATGTGGTGGCTCAGTAATTCTTTTCAAAATATTTCTGCTGAGGCCAGCACTGTGGCATAGTGGGTAAAGCCACCTTGTGGGTAAATGCCAGTATCCCACATGGGCACTGGCTCATGTCCTCGCTACTCCACTTCCCACCTAGTTCCCTGCTAGTATGCCTGGGAAAAGCAGTGGAAGATGCCACTCACACAGGAGATTCGGATGAAGCTGCAGGCACTTTGCTTCAGCCTGGCCCAGCCCTGCCCATCACAGCCATCTAGGGCATGAGCCAGCAGATGGAAGATCTCTCATTCTCTCTCTGTAACTCTGATTTTATAAATAAATAATTTTTAAAAAAGAAGTAGTACTTATATGCTTTCAGTTTTTCTGAAAGACAGAGACTTTCCATCCATTGGTTCATCCCAGCAAATGCCCACAACACCCTCGGCTGGACCAGGTTGAAGCCAGGAGGAGCCAGAACTCCACTTGGGCCTGTCTGAGTGGCAGAGATCCAAGCAGCCAACTATCATCACTGTTTCCCGGGGTACGGATTAGCAAGAAGCACAGTAACCAGGACTCAATCCAGGCAGACCAATATGCTACCACAGCATCCCAAGCGGCGACTTAACTCTTGTGCCACCGATCACTGAAGCCATTATGATCTTCTCTTAAAAAAATTTTTAGGGCCCGGCGCGGTGGCGCAAGTGGTTAAAGGTCCTCGCCTTGCATGCCCGGGATCCCATATGGGCGCCGGTTCTAATCCCAGCAGCCCCGCTTCCCTTCCAGCTCCCTGCCTCTGGCCTGGGAAAGCAGTCGAGGACAGCCCAAAGCTTTGGGAACCTGTACCCGCGTGGAAGACCCGGAAGAGGCTCCTGGCTTCGGATCGGCATAGTATCGGCCGGTTGCGCTCACTTGGTGAGTGAATCATCGGACGGAAGATCTCCCTCTCTGTCTCTCCTCTCTGTATATCCGCCTTTCCAATTAAAAAAATAATAAAAATAAATCTTTAAAAAAAAAATTTTTAGCTAGTATATAAAAATTTTACATATTTATGGGCTACAATGTGATTTTTCATGACATGTGTATGCTGTGTGATGTCCAAATCAACATTTGAGCATGTAACATTTACACCATTGCCTTACGGTCCTTTCTTTTTGCATTTCTGTTTTTCAATTAAAAGGCATGTGTTAGCCACCATCACCCTGCTGTGTGTGGTAGAATACCAGGACTTTTCTCTTATTTGACTCTAAATTACTGCCTGAATTCACCTTTCTCCAACCCTCTCTCCTCTCCTTTATATATAAAAAGTGCCCTTCTTATAATACTTACTGCCTACAACGGGACACAAAGATGCCTAGGAACACAACAAGCACCCGTCCTCAGGACCCAGCGACCACACACAAATGCATCCGTTCTTGCTAACATAAGACAGAGTGCACCACAGCGAGGCTGCACAGTCGGACATCTGTGTCCACAGTGATCAGGATCTCACCAGATCAAGAGCCATCTGCGATTCAAATGAAGGCCCAACATGGCAGAGACTCAGATTTCCCAGGCACAAGACTATCTGGCATCACTATATCCCACTGCAGTGAAGCAGGCTGAGGGGAGCTACAGCTCCCAGGACTGCTGCTGAACTGATTTCTACCACCCTTGCATTCCTGCTCGTTGGTTTTGCACAGAGGACTGCACTGGTCTCCACCTTGAGCACGGGAGGGCAAGCGGTTAGAAGGGCCACTGGAAGAGGCCTGTCCCACAGTCACAGCTGTCTCTGCTTTAAAGCACACCACTCCATTAGCCCAGCAGTGAAGACGTCACTGGGGACGTCCGTATCTTGCCTCAGAGTGTCTGGATTTGATCTCAGCTTTCTCCCGATCCCAGCTTCCCACTAATGCAAACCCCAGGAGACGGCAGGTGACCGTTGAGTGGCTGGGTCCTTGTCATCCACATGGGAGACCTGGACTGAGTTTCACCAGCTGCTGGCGAATCAGTGTGTGGGAGCCTTCCAGCCTCTTCTCTCTCTGCCTCTCAAATTAAAAAAAAAATGAATAGAATGAAAATGAAAAGTATGCCAAGCATGTTAACAATTTATAGAAATGGTCTTTGGTTTTTCTCAGGGGACTTCAAAAATCTATTCAAAATCTATATTACATAATAGTTACTTATTCATTTTATTTGAAAACCAGATACTCAGACAAGTATATACACACACACACATATATATGGAGAGAGAGAGATATTTCACTTGCTGGTTTACCTCCTGAAAGCCAGGGCTGGGCCGGGAACTCCATCTGGCTCTCCCACAAGATCAGTAAGGATCTTTGTAGCTGGGTACCACCTGCTGCTCCCCAGGGTATGCATCAGTAGGAAGCTGGAATGCAGAATGGGGCTAGACCAAAAAACCTAAGCCCTCGGAGAGGGCATGTGGGAATTCCAAAGATGGCTTAGACCACAGTGTCTAGTGCCTGCCCTTTAACTAGTGAAGTGCCTATTATAATAAAGAGTACCTCCCACAGTCAGACAGTGATGTCTTAGTCAACTTTTTTGTTACTGCAATTAAACACAGGGACAACTGACTTCAAGAAGAGAACAGGTTTATGGAGCTCACAGTTTTGAAGGTTCAAGTCCAAAACTGGTGACCCCATGGGCTGAGCCTTTGTGAAGACAGTAGATGAGGGTGACCACACAGTGAGTGAGGAAGCAGAGAGAGAATGACTGGGACCAACTCATCCCTTCATAACCAGTCATCTCACCCCTAAACAGCATCATGGGATTCAGGCTGCAACCTCTTCATACCATTAACTCATACCCCCTGGGGTTTAATATCTGAATGAGTTTGGGGACCCAATCATATTGAAACTCTAGCATGTAATATTGAAATTTCCACTTTACCATGCAAGGCCTTACAAATGGTGGTGGTGGTGGTGGTGGTGGGAAGGCATAATGCTTTTAGAATTCAGCCTGATAAGTCCACAGCTGCTGCTACCATCCCTCCAGTGGGGAGCCAGAGTGACCCTGTCACATCTGCGGGTGCGCTGCAGCAGGGCAAAGAGCTGCATGACCCCAGATTCAGACCCAGAGGCCACCTGCCTTGATGCGTCAGAAGCCCCTCACTCAACAGAGAGGGGTAACAACAGTACCTGCCTCAGAGAACTCTTCTGCGAGCAGGAAGATGGAGGTGAAGCAGGCTGTACAATGTCTGAGGTAAGAAATTTTTTACAGTCAACCCTCTTAGCAGCACAGGGTTACATTCATAGTCTAAAACTTTTATTCCCTGGTCTGCCTTAACTGTTCAGCATTAGCCATTTTTTTTTTTAACAAGAATGGCTTGTATTTATCAATGGTTACAAAAGGCAGATGGACACTTAGGATGCTCATTTACAGGTATGCTCCCTTTGGCAGGTGCGGCTAGGCCAGGAGGCTGGAGCTCAATCCGGGGCTCCCACGAGGGTGGCAGAGAACCATCTGCTGGGGCTGTCACTGCTGCTTTCCTGGGTTTGTGGTAAGGGGAAGCTGAGAGAGGCTGAAGCCAAGTACCCTGCTACAGGAAGTCTCAACAGGCATCCTAATTGTGGGCCCAACTGCCTGCCCCTGAAAACTATTTTCCTACCTAGGAAAAGAGGACCCTACTGGTATCACAGAACTCCAACAGTGAACAATATGTGACAGTCTTCAAAACACTTGAAGTGTTTTCCACATGCAAAAACCTTTCATTAGAATTTTTATCTGTAGCTCCTAATTTCCAAATGAACTTGTCCCTAGCACTGAGGGTAAACCAAGTCACATCGGAATCGCCACATCAGGTCCCACGCCCTGTTCCCAGGCCTCCTCCAATTCGCTATTTAATCACACGGTGATTCAACACCTGTGTGTGATAATGATTCACGGGTCTTGATCTGCCAAACATTGCTGCTTGTAGATTATTTTCAGAAATGTCTGCTGAGCGAATTCTTTGCAAAGTCACGACTTGGAGAGTGGATAAGCCAATGACTTATTCTTTCGCTCCGACTTCAGCCCCATCATATGTCCGTTCCTGATTTAGAGCATCTATTCATGTCGCGGTGATGACTTGAGGCAGCATGATGCAGCTGGCAAGGGGTGGCCTCCTGAGAACTGAACACCAGCTCACTTCACGGTTGGCTGTTTTTTATTTCTTTGGAGCTGCATGCAGAAACGGGAACGGCCCAACCCCTCTGCAACGAGACGGCCACCTTTTAGAGCATACGGCCTGTGCCTGGACACAGCAACCATCCTGTAAGGGAGAGTGAATGAACCACGACGCAGACTGCGTCCACTTACATTTCACAGATGCCAGCCCTGCTGGGAAGGAGCGGCACGAGCTGTAGCAGCAGTCGGACGCCGTTCTGCCATTTGCCTTCCCTCTCAAATTCACAGTACAAGTAGCTACATTCCTCCGAGGAAAACTGGTAGAAAGTATAAGTGTCTTGGAAATACAGGTGTTGGTCCACTGTTGAAAACACAAAAGGTGGCAGGGGCGGGGTGGAGATCAGCTTCTAAAAGTGTATTCTTTACAGAGTTGTAAATCAAGTCATCACTGAGAGCCCTACTAATTATTAGGAGAAAAGTCAGGGGTAAGACAATAATTGCACACTCTGAGCTCATTCACGCTTATTACCCTATTGAAGTGCAGCCACTTACTGGAAGGCCTAGTTTTATTGCTCATAGCTTTGGCCCACAGAGTCACAGGCATTTCACCACGTTCCTGCCTCACAGGCAAGTGCAGGTGAAATCAACAGTCATTCAAACAGGCTGGGGAGACATTTCCTTTCAGGATCCCAAAGAAAACTAACACAGTTTTTTAAATGGCACACAAATACCACATGGGGTGGGGGCAGGCGGACATCAGCAGCACTCGACCACCCCCAGGGCATGTTTGGTGGTGTCTGGAGATATTTGGAGGCGGGGAGGAGAATGGGGTATTGTCAAAACTTGAGGAGAGCTACCAGTGCTGGGAGAGCAGGAGCCTGCTAAAGCTGTATTACACAGCTAAGAACTCACGCAGCTCAAAATGTCAAGGCCACCCAGGTGGCACAGACTGGCCCTCACCGTGTGAACACAAGACTGTTTTGCTAACAGGAAGCCTAAATCCAGTCGGTGGGCCAATATAACCTCTGCCTTCTTCATAGGCACGCGACTGATTTTCCACCTAAAGACTATTATGTGCTAAGCATTACTGCCTGTGTAAGAAGATTACAACCATGGCCCCGTATGTGCCACCCTTTCACAGCGGGAGCTGGAGTATGCTCTCACTGCTGATCAGCCTGTGGAGAAAACAAAACAGGCTCTCAGCCAGCAGCCAGCAGCCAGCAGCTGAGAGATGGGGCTTTGGCATCTGATCCTTCAAGTCTCTGGGTTCATCTCAGAAGATGCATATTTGGCCCTCCGTTTTGATTTCTAGCTAACATCTATCTTCCGTTTTGTTAAGTAGTTCATCTTCCCAGATCACATATCAATGTTCTTGATTAGTCCATGAAAATGGCGTCCACCTCACACTCGCAACCTCAGCTTCTGACGGTCACTCTAAGTACAGTGAGATGTCGCTCATTGAGTGCTGAGTCCCAGCACAGGGGCCGTTGAGCAGCATCCTACACAGGGGCTGCGGAATGGCTTCTCTGCACAACAGTCTATGTACAAACCCAGGCCCGGGGATTTTCATGAAAGGCATGAGAAAAATAAACTGGCTCCAAGGTGGTCTTAGAACCCAAGAGAGAAGGCAGAGATTCACCTTCAAGAACAACCCTCCAGCGCCCCTCGCTGCAACATCCTTCAGGACCTTCAGGCTAAGAGGCCCACAGGGCTGTGCCACTAACCTGACGACATAATACCCATGTCCAGCAGGAGCTGCCAGATCCCGATGGCCATGGACCTGCACTGGACAAAGGGACAGTGTTCCAGAAGCCAGTCCACCAGCTCCGACCCAACACAGCTCCTCCTGTGCAAAAACAAAGCCACTCACAGTGAGATCCTGTTGCTGGCCATTTGTGGAAAAAAAAAAAAAAAAAGACACATAATACCACACCATTCACCAGCTTGCTTTTCTAAACAAGCAACCCAAGAAGAAATGACATGTGCCTCTCTTTTTTCTTTTTTCAGATTAGAGGTTCAAATCTTACATAGGGAAAGTGAAGAGCCAGATTCTATTTATGCTTGTAAGTCAGATGACCTAACACATCGTCCTCAAGGAATCATTTCTGTCTCCTCTATTAGAAAGGAATGTTCAAGAAAACAGGGACTTAGGACAACTCACTCTTCATCCCCTGCCAACTGGAACAGTCCACGGTACACAGTGCTTTCTCCAAAACCACTGTAGTCCCAGACAATGCTGCGGCCTTGTTAAGCCATGCACTTCGCGCTGCTCGTGATAAACTTTGGGTTTAGTATTTTATACACACACACATGTATATACGTATGTGTACATGTATAGCTAACATCTATTTTCTGTTTTGTTAAGTAGTTCATCCTCCCAGGTCACATATGTATGTGTTTATATATACATATGTGCATATATATATGTGTGTGTGTGTGTGTGTGTGTACTACATATACATATGTGTGTGTGTTTTAGCTCCTTCCCTTGAAAACAAAAGAATCCCAAGCAGTTGAATCCACCCTGGAACCATCATCAATGGCACAGGGTTTTGTCTGCCTCTCAGTAAACAAAGATTATATCCCCAAAGTGTGTCTCAAAGAACACTGGATTGCTAATCTTTAAATATAATCTAAGTAATCTCTCTGAGCTGCATCATAAACCCATTGATCCAGATGATGTGTGCTGCAGGGCAGTAATCTCTCTCACACACATGCACACACACACACTCCCCTCTGTAACCGGCCTTCAGCTCACAGCCACAACACTGTAACTGGGATGTGACACAGCCTCTTCGTGGCTGCCTTTCCATTTGCGATGAGCTTCGGGAGGAAGAACAGGAAGACAACTTTCTGAAATATGCTTTTTCTTTGGCAGAAATGTCACTGAATTCCACACTCCCCCGATGTTGAAGGAGCGAGGCGTCATGCCCCGCCTGTCTCGATCCTCCAGTCGGTGTGGACCGAGGCAGAGATGTCAACATTCACTTACGTTCCTTCAAGACAGGCACACTGCCCATTTTGCTGTGGCCTGTGATTGGCGTATTCCCAAACACTCTGGAATTACAGCACAGCCAGCAATGTGAAGAACTGGCAGGAAGTGCTGCATTTTCTGGGGTGAAGGAAAAAAAGGTAGGGAAATTCTCTGCTGAGATACTAGATCCAAAACTCCAGCCTGCCATAAAGCACTCTTTTTTTTTTTTTTTTTTTGGAGGGGGGTGGCAGGAGGAGAAACTGTCACCTTCTGGAAGAATATTCCATGCAACTGAGCCACCAGGCCAACACACAAGAGCGCTACGGGCATATCCACTCTCAATAGTGCCACTCTGAGAGCAAGCTGCTGCAACGGTCACATAGGATCCCTGCCCTTCCCTTTTCTGAACTCTCTCCAGTAGGTTTCAATTGCTGTGGACAGTCCCTCAGCACGCAGGAAGACACGGAGGTCAAGGAGAAACACGAATATTGATGCCACCGCAGCCAATGGAATGAGGCAAGTCGCCCCTGCATGTAACCGCTTGTCCCCTGACCTGCTCCCGGCGCCTGCCACAAACTGGTGAGCCAGCAAGGGGGAAAGCAAGCAGGGATGGTTGGAACAGAGCCATCTGACTTCCAACAGCCGCCCTGACCCACAGTGTTGGACTCAGTTCAGAAGCTTTCCTGGTACGTGTGATTCCACTCACAGGTGCCAATACCAGGTAGAAATGTGATAAGGAGCTGATGAGCTGCAGAGCCCACATGACTAGTGGAATACATCATAAACGCTACCCATCTCAGGGGTTCAAAATGCAGTTTCAACATATTCCCTTTCTCTGGCTGCTGTGTGAGCCCCTGCTGGGAGGGAAAGGGTAGACCCGGGGTGTTTAAAGAGCTACAAGAGGCAGCCACCATTGTGGCATGGTGAGCTAAGCTGCAGCCTGCCAATGCAGCACCCCATTTGGGCACCAATTCAATTCTGGCTACTCTACTTCCAATCCAGCTCTCTCTGCTAATTTCCAGGGAAGGTAGTAGAAAAGAGCCCAAAACCCAGGCGCTTCAGTTACCTTCTGCTGCCTCCCAGCACACATTTGCAGGAAGCTGGGTCAAAAGCAAGCCTTGAACACACGTAGGAGACCCAGAGGAGGCTCCTGGCTCCTGGCTTCAGCTTGGCACAGCACAGATTGTTCTGGAGAGTAAACCAGTGGCTAGAAGCTCTTTCTGTATCTCTTCTTCTCTGACTTTGAAAATGAATACATCTTTTTTCTTTTCTTTAAAAGAGCCGTATAAATCCACATACACAAAAGCATAGTTCATACACACAATAGGAACGAATGTCTGGCCTACAGGAGAGTTTTCAAAACCTACAACCTTGCAGGACTCATTCATCGAGCTCCCTCCCTACCCTGTATATTTGTTTACCCACTGGTTTTTATCAAACACAGTTCCTACCAAGCTCTCAGTAGCTACCAGAAATGGTACAAGGTCCTGAGGAGACTCTGGGGGTATAGGAACAGCCCCCCGTGTCTTGAGGTTGGTTTTGTGGCTAGTCATGACACCGGTGCCTAGAAATTCACCAAGATGCGTGCCTGGGATGTGTGTATCTCACTGCAGTGTGAGTTATGTCTCTCTAGAAAGATAGTTTTCTTGGGCCCAGCGCGGTGGCACAGTGGTTAAGGTCCTCGCCTTGCACGCCCGGGATCACATATGGCCGCCGGTTCTATCCCGGCAGCCCCGATTCCCTTCCAGCTCCCTGCCTCTGGCCTGGGAAAGCAGTCGAGGACAGCCAGAGCTTTGGGACCCTGCACCCGCGTGGGAGACCCGGAAGAGGCTCCTGGCTTTGGATTGGCATAGTATCGGCCGTTGCGCTCACTTGGGGAGTGAATCATCGGATGGAAGATCTTCCTCTCTGTCTCTCCTCTCTGTATATCCGCCTTTCCAATAAAAAAATAATAAAAATAAATTAAAAAAAAAAAAAAAGAAAGATAGTTTTCTTACTCCCTCCTCGTCAAATCCAAGCCCTGGTAACATTTTTCCCACAGGTGGCAAATGGGAAAAAAACAGGAATATTATAATAATGAGTTTAACTCATGGAATGAATGTGCTATTCTCATCCAGTTGAGAGAGCAACAGAAAGAAAAGCTCTTCCACCTGCTGGTTTGCTTCTTAAATGTCCACAACAGCCAAGGCTGAACCTGACTGAAGGCCCCAGCTAGGCTTCCAACACGGGTGGTGCTTGCCTCCCAACACACATTTGCAGGAAGCTGGGTCAGAATCAAGTCTTAAACCGAGCACCCTGATATGGGATGTGGGCACTGCAAGTGGCAGCTTCCCCCACTGCACCACAATGCTCACCCCACAGATCCTCCCTAATTTTGTTGGTGTCCTTTCCTCTGAGTATTTTTCTTACGGTATTTCAACATCATCTCTTTCAGGGTGAGCAGTGATGGTAAGTGGTAGTGGTTTTTCCTTCTTGGTTTTGCAATGTTGGAATTGGTTGGTTTGGTCCAGTAGCTTTCCTTGGCAAAATAAAAAGCTCGAGATTCACTTTGCTGTTTCTAACTGCTGCATGGGATGAAAGCACTTTCTCCCCACATTCTTCATGACCACTCTTTTGCTCCATCTGCACTTTTATAACCCTGGCTGTGGATCTGTGTGTTTGCTCTAACACCTGCCCTTGCCCACTAAAAAAGGAGGCACCTGCCAGGCCAAGGCCATGCTGCCACTGCCCTCACCTCACTGTGGCCAGGCCGGACTGGCACTCCCACCTGGATGGCTAGAGCAGTTCTCACAACCCTTAGAGTGGCCAAGCAGGCCTCTTCATGAGGTCCCCAAAGAGGAACCCCTTAAGCTAGAAATTATCCCATGCACACCCCTCTCCCTCCCAAAATACACATCTCAGAGAAAGCAGAGCAGACACCACACCTGTAGCAGAGGGGTGGTCCCAGAACCTAATGTCAGGACTCGGAGTCTACCCGGACTAAAATACAGAGTTGAAGGAAAGAAGCTACCTGCCAGTGTCCCCAGCAGACAGAACCAACCTGGCCCTCCCACACCAGTGAGTGTGCTTCGCTTTGGTCAAGGTCACAGCACTCACACGAGGATTTTGTCCGCTCCTCTCCTTCCCATCCCCTCCTTCCCCTACCATCCCCCCCCCCCACACACACACATACACAACCTCCGAGAGAGTTTCTGACAAGGTGTTAGGAAAGTGTGTTACCTGTAAAAGCCCTTGAGGTTCACTCTGTCTTTTATCAGGTCAGCTGCCTGCACCATAATCATATTTCTCAGGGCTCTTCCTGCACAAGAAGAATTTTCTCCATAAATCTGGAGGGGAGAGACAAGCATTGGCTGTGAATACAGAACCTTCTGGGATGCAGTGAAAGCATGCCACGTATACCAAGTGATGAGCAAGTCTCTGAGCTTGAGACACACACTAACCCACGCCCCTACAGCTCTAGAACTACCTTTTTAATATATAAATTTATCTTTGCCACTGGTCCACTTATGCTCTTTAAGTAGCAATAACTATTTCACAAAAGTTGAAGTGCTTTATTTAACAACTATAAGTGATCCCATTTTAAAATACACAGCTTCAGTGTAAAGGAACTATTTTTCAATATGGTATTTTTTTCTCAGTACAGCAAAGCCTACTGATATTATATATTCTCTCTGCCATATGGCTGATGCATTCATATAAACAGGTCTCGGGAGAAGGGATCATCACTTTTTTTCTTCTTGAGTGAACATTTTGAACCGTGGCACAATGTGACAGCAGGCAACTTTGCCCCTAGGAGTCAGTCGGCCACAGGGTTCAGAGTTAATGCCAAGCAGCTCAGTGGCATCCACTTCATGATTCATGTAGCCTGTGAACTCCTCCCTACACACACACACACACACACGCGGACATCATGGCTACCACCCCTACGTAGTTCCCCGCATAACACAGCAGCAGGACATAACCAGAAGGGTTAAACAGGCATCAGTCATCTTCATAATGTGAAGGCTCTGGAACTTGAGCAGGTGCACTGGTGTGAGGGCAGGGCAGTGTCTGGTGCAGCAATTACCACAGCACTGCGGCTGCCTGCATCCCACATCACAATGCCAGATCACAATGCCAGCACTCCCTCAGACATATCAGGTGAGGGCTTGAGGAGCAGCTGGGTGTTTGCCACCCACGTGGGAGCCCCTGGGGGAGTTTTGGGCTCTTGGCTTGGCCTGTAGTACCCAGCTCTGGCTACCATGACCACTTGGGGGAGCAGAGGTTATGAACCACCGGTGGTCGACTGTCTCTCTGCCTTTCAAACAAAATGAAAACAATCCAAGGCATATTTAATCAATGTTTAGTGCCTGCAAGAGTCTCAATGAGATGTGGCGAGCACAGAGATGAGCAGGGAGGCAGGTGCCTGCCCTCATGAAGCTCCCATGCTCCTTTCTGACAAGCAAATGCAATCCTGTGCAAAGATTCTCTTAACACAAGGAAGACGGCCTCATTTTTTTAAGCCAATGGGTACACAGGGGATACTCCATGAATAGCTATAAATATGGATGTTTCCTTACATAATGTTTTTGGTATAAAATATTCAGTGTTTGTAAAAATATATATAGTGTTTGTATTGATACTAAATATGATTTTTTTCAATTTGCTGTATTACATACATTGTGATGACAAGGCATTCATGTAAAGGACTTGGAGTAAATATCCAGATTCGTGACACAAGGACCTCAGCCCCTTCCACTGCCATCATGCCTGGTGGGTGCAGGGTGGGAGGGAGGAGGCAGGGGTGGAACGGTCACTTTTGTGATCAAGAGCAAAGGAAACAGCGCTGACTCAAGGGGGTTCTGCAGCAACACCGAGGGACTGCAGTTCCAGAAAACTCAGTGAGAGGAGAACGGGTCATACCTGGGAAGAAGTGTGGTCAAGGTACGGGTTGGAAATCCTTCTTGACAGGGTCTGTTGTGAGAGAAAGAGAGGGTGCTCATTAAAGCTCCACCTTGACACCCTGCACACCCCATCGCAGGTAACAGTGTTAAACCCAGGAAGTGACTATGCTGAAAATGAACACACAAAAAATGAGCTAGGATCTCGGGTTACAGGCTCGGCGTGGTACACACTGCCACTCAGAGTAACAGCCGGGTCAGTAACTCACTTACAGCAGAGCCCAGCCTAAAGGCTACAACCAACTGAAGCACAATGGAAAGCCTGGGAGTTTTATTTGTTCCACTGGTGCCTTCATTCCTTGATGTGGCCTCATTCTAGCTCGTACTGCCTTTTTACTTCCCCATTCTCCCCACCCGGGACCTCCAGCACCTCCCATGCTGATGCCTCACCACCTTATCTGCTTCCATCTACACTGTGCACTGGGAGAGGGAGGCCCTGATGACTGAGGTCCCCTGGCCCCAGTCTCCCATCCTAGGCCCACCACACTCCTGCTCCAGAAGATCTCACATCCTCTCTACCTTCCTCCAAACACATCTCTGAAGAACCTGTTACTCACAAATGCCAACCTCTCGCCACCATGTTAAGTCCCAGAGGCCCTTTTCCCTCCTAGATGCTGATTGAATGGCACCTGACTTTGCAATCCAGGTCTGTACAGTTCCCTCCCAAGTGAGCAGAGTGCTGCTGGCTGGGGTCTGTCCAGCCCTGGAGTTCTCAGCTCCAAACAAGGCAGCTGGGGGCACTGCCCTAGGCTGGTCTGAGTGTGCTTTCAGCCCCTGGGATTCCACCAGCTGCTTGACGGAGTGCCGGCCCCTTCGGCTGCTCTGCTTTGCCAGAGTCCTAGAACTCAGTCCCGTATTGAGAAGCTTCCTTCTCCTCAATGATTTGGTGATTTGTACATCTCTGTCCACTTCATAAGCATTGACTGAATGATCCGAATTACAGGAGCTAAGTTTTTCCCGACCTAACAATGCAGCCAGCAGCCCACACAGGCTTCAGCTCAACAGAGAAGTGCTGTTACATGCCAAGGCACTGATAAAAGCTCCAGCCTAGCTCTCAGAACTCCTTGCAACTCTACTTCAAGGCTGTGGTCTTTTGAGACCCGCTGGTTTTTAGTCCGCCGCTTCCGTTCCACAGGATGATTTGCTAAATCTGTAAGACATATCCTGCCAATCGCCACTTTCCGGCAGCTGCACTTTCCGCCAAATTTTAGTCTTAAAGGAAAACGTCCACACCGTTCCTTCCCTGCCCCTCCGCGGCTCCCTCAGGTCTTATCATCCAGTAGGACTGACGCGAAATGCACCAGGCTGCTCCTTCAGACCTGCCCATGGATACTCTGCTGAGTTCGCAACTTGCTTCCCTGTGGAAGGCAGATTCCACACAGCAGACAGCCATTTTTAACTCCGACCCTTCTGATTCAGTTCCCGCACACTCCCCCTTCTGCTGACTTATATAAGGCACTCGCTTCTTCCAACACTGAGCAATCTAAAAGCCGTGTATGCACCAGATTTATAATATGAAATGAATCATCAAGAGAGATTATTTTGTTTTCCCCTATAGAGGAGACTTTGAAGAAGAATCAATATGGCAGACCAGAACCAACTATGTGTATTACTCATCTAATTGTCCGAATCAGCTCAGGAAAGTGGATACTTCAAACAGAAATCTTTCAAGTAGAAAAAAAGTTTCCCCCACAAAAAAAAAAAAAAATCCAGGCGGGGCATTTTCAACAAACAAAACAAGCCACCTGCTTTTCTGGCCACTGACACCTCAGTCTGTGCCTCCACATCCTCATACAACTCCACCCCCACCCTACCACGGATGACTTGTTTCAAAAGATGGGTAAAGTGAGTCAATGAAGTAATGGGATCCTTCCCTACTGAGCAGGTAACACAGAGAGGAGCCCCCAACCCCTGGGGATTCAACCCGAGTCCGATAACAAGAACCATCTTTGACCAGACACAATCCCTGGGCTTGTTGTCAGGAACTCCTGTGAAGCCCTAGCGTAGCTGCCCCTCCCCCAGGGGGCAGTGGGGCTTTGGTTTCACTAACACTGGAGGGTGGCAGCTCACCAGCCTGCTGGCTGAGCTCTTGGCCACAGAGCTCCTGATGTGCTCAGCGCAGGACTGACGTGTTAACAGAGTGACTCTCGAGGTTCGCTCTTTCCCAGAGACCAATTTGTGTGCTGGCTCCAAACGGCAAGTGCTGAAGGGTTAAGGAAAAAAGGCCATGGAGCAGTGGTGGGGTGGATGTTCCATCTGTTATCACCCTTCTAACACAGAACAGGGAAAGAGCTGTCACTTAGCTTTATCAGGGGAACACTGTGGGTCAATTCACTGCTACTCTGAACTACCTCAAGAAACTGCTCTGTCAAGAACCCTTAAGAATGCACCCCACTTCCACTTTAACATTCTTTCCTTAATAAATAATCACTCAGCAGTTTGAATTCCTTGGTTGCAACCGGCCCCTCCCTGCATTCCCCCTGCGTCTTTCACCGCTCCTAAAGCAACTTACTTCCATTCATCTCTAAAGGAGAAGCTCCTAGCACTAAGTACCCCAGCATCCACCGAAGGAGCTTCCAGAGACACAGGAATGAGACACCATTCCTCTCCCAGAAGGCTCACTGATCAGTACACACAGACTCCAGGCAACACTGTAAGACCATGACTCTGGGGCAAGTATCCGGTCTCATTGACATGCCTGTATCCCCTATCGGAGAGCCTGGGTTCGAGTCCCGGCTCGACTCCTCATTCCAGGTTCCTGTTCACACACACACATGCTAGGAAGAAAGCCTAGGGAAGGCTCCCGTGGTTGGAGCCCCACTATTCAGATGTAAGATCTGGATTGAGCACCTGGGTGCTCTCCCTCCCTCTCTGTGTCTCAAAGAATAATGAGAACAAGAACAAACCATGAATTCTTTCTTGATCCTGATTGGTCCACTGGGACCCTGCTGATCCACTTTTCAAACGGCTCTCACCATGGTATCTCAATATACACAATCCCAGATGAGGCTGCTGCCATGTTCTGATTGGAGTTTGTGTTTTCCTTTGAAGACCCATGAACCAATAAACATCCTGTCCCCATCATCTTCGGTGATACTAACAGAGTGAAAACCTGGTGCTTGGAGATGGGATCTTTGGGAAGTGATTTGACTGGATCAGGTTGCTGATATGCAATCTCACCCAACCTCATCAGTCATGGCGGCTTCACAGAGAGCGACACAGGTAGGCAAGTGTATACCCTTTCGCCATGTGACGCTCTGTGCTGGCTTGGCCATCGTCAAATGATGCTGGACCAATAAGGCTGTAGGATCTTGGACTAGGACCCTCAAAAAATGTGAACGCGAATGAACCTCCCTCCTTTCTAAGTAAAAATGATGAGAAGTGAACACATGGATGACTAATTTTTTTTTCCACTTCATTCCAAGTTTCTCAGATCTACTTAGGTTGAATACAACAGTTATTTCATGAGAGATAAAAAGCCTGAAAAAAAAAGAATGCTAACAACACAAATGGAAATAGATTTTAATTCTAACTTATTTCTCCTCCTTTCTATTTTAATAGACAATAGAAGATGTTTTTTAACTGACACTGAGAAAACTTCATAGTTTAAATGTGTATTAGAAAACTGCAATTGTATAATACTCATGAGTGGACTTTCAGATGGAAAGAATAATGGCAAAACTACCTTTACTTTTTCTTAAACGTGGGTGTCCACTAACATTCATGCTATGTTATATAAATCATGTTATCTATCTATCTATCTATAGAAAGATTGATGTTAACATAAATGCCATGTGTCTGAACCAAGCAGAGAACTCACTCCAGAGTTGCTAAAATTATCCTGCTCAACTATGTGACAGCCTCAAGGCACATTTTTCATCACTTTTTAAAAGACATGCCTAAATACCAACCTCCAAGTCACTTAGGCTTCTAAGGGATGAGAGAAATGAACAGAGAAAGAGTGAATTATTTCAGTGACACAGAAGAGCGGCTTTCCCGGTCATGAACACAAGACAACAAAATTCATGTGGCATCAAATTCGCTGGGAATGCAAGAATTCAGCTCTTTACCTAATTTTCTGTCATCATCGTTCATGGTCGCCTCCCATCTTGGGGTAATCAAGTAGAACACGAAGATGAAATGGCAGAACAAGCACATTTGAATTTCTTTTCCAACCTAGGAGGCCAGAGGCCTCATACGTAACTGGGGCACAGATGTTGTGAGACCAGAGAACAAAATGTGACCAAAAGGCCAAAGTCTACTGCACTGCTCACTCCTCACCTAAGACTATGAGGCCTCCTGGAGCCCTAGCAACAGTTTACATCTCACCCCAAGCTTAACCAGGTAAAAAGTACAGAAGCCGGGCTGGCTTGCAGCCTGCAGAACAGCCATCACAAGCGGGGGGGGGGGGGGGGGAACCTGGTGACAGCAGCCAACTTCTGCCTTAGAGGAACACAGACCCTTAGCTGTGTTCCTGCTCGTCCCAGCTGCAATTGCTGTCCACAATCACTGGCCCGGTGCTCTAGGGACATACCTACAGCAACGGTCATGGTCACCATGTCATCTGTAATCATATCTCCTCTCCATGGAGCAAGGCCACACCCAAGTCAAGGAGCCACTGAGAATGGTATTTTTCTACTGCTGGGATATGTCAAGAAAAGGGACTAGCATTTGGCATAGAGTTTTAAGCCACAATGTGGGTACTGGTTAGAGTCCCAGCTACTCCACTTCTGATTCATCTTCCTGCTAAGGTGTCTGAGAAGGCAGCAGAAGATGCCTGGGTGCTTGGGACCCTGCACCCACGTGGGAGACCTGAATGAAGATTCTGGCTCCTAAAGCCACTGTGGCCATTTGGGAAATGAACCAGGAAATGGAAGATCACTTCCTCTCTCTCTATGTCTCTGTCTCTCTCTCCCTCCTTGCCTGCCTTTCAAATACATCACTCTTTTTAAAAAAGGAAGTAGAATGAAAGGCAAGGTAATAAAAATGCTGACAGAGCCTGTCTCCTTTGTT